TCTCTCACTATATAAATTTTAACCCTCACAAGTCATTTAACTCATTTTCAGATTTTGTTTGTGGTCAGTGGTGTAACAGATATCAGACACTTTTTCACTTCACGGGCAGAAGCTGGCAGTAATGGAATTCAGGATAATCTCACTGATACAGTCACAGGTTCTCTAGATCAACCCGCCAAGAGACTTTTAAAGAAGTGACCACCTCTAGTGAAACTAATGCCGACCTGACTGATTCAGCTTTCTCTCTTTCCTGCTGCATCACTAGTACTCAAGGGGTCAGTACTAGTTTTAAACTGTATCATGAAAAATTCCCTTTGATGTTAATGACTTAAAGAGGGATTAAAATTGTTTAACCTCCCTGCTCCTATGTAAACAAGAAATTCATTTTGAACTAAGTTCAAATAATTATTATTGTTTTGCATGTTGCGAGGAAACACTGGCAATTTTTGAAGTTTACAGTACAATTAGTAAATGTAAAGTTTTTGGTACTCATTGTATCGGTGCTTTGAGCAGGTGCAGGTTCTTCTCTTTTGCAAAATTGTTCTCTTCACATGTAATCTTCCTTTTCTTGGCTGAAATGACATCACTGACTTCCACTTCTTGTTGATGAGAATATACATGCACAGCATTAGTTGATCTATGACAAGAAACAGACATTACTGTCTGTTCGTCAACTCCATGTTGGAACAAGCGTGTTCCACATGTTTGCCTTAGAGAATGATTAGTATAGTGGCCTTTTTCACCTGCTTTGTCACATAATCGCTTCACTGTTTCATTAAGAGTATTATGTCCCACTAGTCTGGACAAATACCATTTGTTAGGAAGAGGTTTGGCCACAGGTTGTAAATGAAATGCATGAGGGGGAGGATCCACTGGCCTGAATGACATACTTTTTGTATAGCTCAACCACACAACGCTTTCAGTCTTCCTTGTTTCCAAAAGTTATTGCAGTCTTGTCACCTCACATTCCTGGAACCCTCCAGCATTGTTTTTAGACCTGCTTTCACTGTACAAAAGGAACCGTCAAGCATTTTTGGCTCTTGTAACTGAATCGTATCTGGACACAACAATCTGTGCTCCCTACCACTTCTAAGGGCTAAGTTAAGACCCAAACAGTGGACTGTCATGTTAAGCAGCAAATGTGGATTACTGTCACCAAGTAACATATCATTCCACATACGTTCTTCAAGGTCGGTGGAAATGATAGCTGCTTGCTTTTTAATAGTACCAATGCCTTCTTTATGAAGCTCTTTTAAAACACAGTCAAATGCTCTTCGAAATAACGAAAAATTGGGGTCTTTCTAGTTATCCAACACTTCTTTATTGCAGTGAATCATCTTGTCTCTTACGTATCATTGGATTCCAGCACACAAACCATAAGACTCACACCAGTGAACGGCTTGCCTTGAGTATTCCTAGCTGCCACGACAAAGCGTGACAACCAGTAGTTTAACAGACTTTTTGTTACCACATAAAATTCTGTAGGTTTGATAGCCCCCATTCTACTGTGGCGCCAATCATTCAAGACCTTCACAGCCCATGATGTAGCCTTGCCTTTGGATGGCGGTATATGGCCTTCTATTTTCTCCAAAATATCTGCATCAGTTACAAGAGGACCAAAACAAGAAGGACTAATAGAGGTACAATTATTGAGGTTTGGAGGCAACAGGTTAATGAGCAAAAAATCTTTATCCCTCATATAAACATAAAAAATTCAAAAAAAACAAGATGAAGTAGGATTCCAAACGACAAACGAAAATACAGAATGGAAATCCTACTCGTGACGCAAATTCTACTTTACATTGTACTTTTAATGTTATTATGTAAGAATTACGGATCACCTTGCAATGTAGAGTAGAATTTGCGTCATGAGTAAGATTTTCATTTTGTCTCTTCGTTGGTCGTTCGGAATCCTACTTCATTTTCTTTTTTTAAATTTTTATGCTCTTGTTTGTGTTCATTTTTTTATAATATTTCGTATTTTCGTTGGTCGTTCAGAATCCTACTTCATCTTGTTTTTTTTTAATTTTTATGTTCTTGTTTGTGTTCATTTTTAAAATAGTATTTATAGTATTTCTTTAGTTGCAATTGTGATACTTGTTGATTTTACATAAACAATAATTTTGTTTATTATTATTATCATTGTTATAACATTTATGAGAGACAGCATTTAATAGACATGCTGAAGGAATATCAGCTATACTGATTTCAAGTGAAACTAATACTAGTCTTAACACAAGTCCTTGTTCAAGAATCTGTGAGCTAAGAGTGTCCATCTTCCCTGCTATTCCTGTTCGTCCAGGCTGTTGTCAAGCTCATAATTATCATTGCTTATCATAAGTCATAACATTAATTAATTCTTTGTTTTTTAAAATAAAATAAAATAATACACTTGATAAAACAGTAACATGTAAAATCAATACCTTCTTTTAGCTAGAAACCTCCACTAAAGTATTGCTTTAAGTTGATTCCAAGCATAGCTTGTTAAAAAAAAACTTGCTTCTTCCAGAGCTGCAGATCTGAGCATGCGCAACCACACCCAAATTTTGGAGCACATGGCAAGCTTCTTTAATTAACAAATTGGCGGCATGTAGCTAAGATGGCTCAATCCAGCAGTCACAGTATCACTTTTTTCTTACTTAAAGAATGATCTGATGGGACATGGACCTGCGCATAGACTGTTGGAGTAGATTGGTGTAAGAAATGTCCTTGTAGCACCAACTGATACTGAGATACACACCGACAACTGGATTGACAGGACTTGATGATGATGAAGATGAAAAAAGGTGGCTGAACAAAACGGCCGGTTCGCCAATTTTTGAATTTCCTCTTAGACAGGGCCTAGAGCCACACTACAGGTACCAATGGAGTCTTCTAGTCAAGATAAGGTCCTCTATAAAGTCTGGTAAGCATAGGAGCTTGTTTTCCCAGTATAGCATGGCTGCAAAAGTCATGGCAGCCATTTTGTTTGGGGGTGAATCGTACTTAGTAACCTAACACGTTACTAATAAGTGGTTTCTCTGTTAGAGACAGCTTGATTTCCAAGTCATTCATTATGGGCCACATTCTCTTATCTTTTAGTGGCAAGTCACGTGAAAATACTATGAATAATGTTTAAAACATCCATGAATATCTTTAAAACACCCGTGAATATAGTTTAAATAGGTTATACACATCCTAGTCAGTGTATAACCTATATTAAGTAGTTCCACAAGTATCAGTGTGTCTGGACCTGATGCACAGATAATATTATTGTGAATTTCTAATTCTTCATTTTTGTACAAATTTTTTGTGCATTAATAAGAATAACACTTTTTGTCAACTTTACTAAAATACAGTCCTCACTTTTCCTTCTCCTCTCTTATCTCCCTCCATCTGGGCACTGGCTCGACCATGTTTTGGTCCACCGAGCCGGATACTTGACTTTCAGTCTTGACTTTAGCTTCTGCTCGGAGGAGTCTTTATTTTTTCACTCTATTTCTATACTTCAGTCTGCCATGTGCTCTGTTGTTTTCTAATGGCTGAACAATCACTTGCTCTTCTGCCCACTGATATGAATGCTCTGAAGAGAAGGAGCGGACTCACTCGTGCCTCTATTACTTGCCATCTCAGAGATCTCAAGAGTAAGGAAGACAAACCTGATACTCCCGCTCATGTTCAGCAACTAGTCTCTAAACTTGATGCCATAGATGCGGAGTTTAAGGTCATCCTTTTACAGACAGTGGACCTGCTTGACAGGGATGAAGATCTCGAAGCTGAACAAGATATATTTGACAATCACCACAATAAATTGACGTACTGTCTCTCAGACTCCAGCAGTTAATTGATGCTCCTACAGGTCCTGCAGCTGTCTCAGTAGAGAAAATTCTACTATCTAAGGAGCTACATCACTTCGAAAAGTGTATAACTACTACTAGAACTGGCATCATTGGTCTACCAGACGAATCTGATGATTCAGCACTGTTCTTACAATATGAAGCCCAGCTGGCTGATTATAAATTGCAGCTTCCTACCCTGCAGGAAGAGCTACTGCTCACTGATGATGTCCTTGAAGATGATCCGTTATTAGCACTGCATGCTGATTTGGAAAAACAGCTATTTGATTGCTCTTATCTGTTTCGTAGGCACCTTACTCATCATATTGTTGATGCTGTTTCCTCCACACCTGTTGGGGGTACTGGCGTGAAACTGCCTAAGTTGGACATCCCTGTTTTCAATGGGAACATACTGAACTTGACAAGGTTCTGGGAACAGTTTTGTGTGTCTATAAAAGATCATACTAGCATTTCTGATTTCAAAAAGCCCGTGTATCTACAGCAAGCTTTAAAGGATGGCTCCGCTAAGCCTGTAATCGAAGGACTTCCAAGGTCAGGTGAGCATTATGTTGAAGCTGTTGATTGTTTGAAGGCTCGATTTGATTCGCCTAGACTAGTTCACCAAACTCATGTTAAATGTGTTATAGAAGCACTTCACTTAAGGAGGGAAATGGTAAAGAGTTGCGCAAGTTACATGATACTGTGCAACAACATACAAGAGCATTGAAATCAATTGGTCAAGAACCCTCAGCCCCTTTAATTACATCTCTTATTGAAATTAAATTGGATGCTACCACAATGTTTGTGTGGCTGAGGCATAGCTAATCAGAGACTAGTGTACCTCATTATTGTAAATTTCTAGAATTTATTGATTATAGGACTCAGGCATGTGAGTCACTAGGAACTAACTCCTATAAGAAGAGTAATAAAGGTGACAAGTTGCCAAATCATATCCCATCATTTCCGTGTAGCACTTCATCAGTTTGCATAGCCTGTAAAGTGGATAGATACCTGTTGTATCTTTGTCAGAATTTAAAGGTTTGTCACAAGATCGGAAAGTCTGTCTTTTGAAGACTAATAATATTTGTTTAAATTGTTTAAATAGTGGGTACCATTTGGAGAATTGCAAATCTGTTAACACAGATGTAGGAGGTTCCAGAGATTTTGTCATACTTCGTTACATTTCCATAATGGGTGTGGGTCACACCCCCTAACCCTGTTACTTCTAATAGTGCTGTAAAGCTAGATTCCAGCTGTCTATTAATGACATGTAGAGTGATATTTATCAGTCCTAATGGAGCTTCTATAGAAGCACGTTGTCTATTGGACAATGCTTCCTCTGCATTTTTGTTTCAAAATGTATTTGCTCAAGCATTACATCTCCCTTCAATCCTACCAGTCAGTGTCATTGTCAGGTATCAAAGGCTTGTCTAGCTGTGTGACCAACAGGGCTGTATCACAATTCACTGTATCTCCAGTTGGTAACCCTGACAGGAGAATTGGTGTCACTGGGGTCATAGTTCCCAAGGTAACAGCAGACTTGCCGGTCAAGCCCATACCCTTTGGGGACCATCTATCTGATATTTCATTATCTGATCCTGCCTTTGGTTAACCAGGACGGATCAATGCCTTGCTAGGCATTGACATACTTATTGCTTGTTTATTAGAGGGTCGCCTTCCTGGCCCACCTGGTTCACCAGCTGTATTTGAGACTGGGTTTGGTTGGGTCTTGGGTGGTTTGATTAATTCCAATAATGTTAATACTGAAATAACTTGTCATATGTCAATAATATGTCTTAATGAGACTATTCATAAATTTTGGGATATTCCTTCTGACAAGTTAGCATGTTCACTTGAAGAGTGTGATGTTATACAACATTTTCAAAATAAGAAATTTTGAACACCAGATGGTAAATTTGTTGTTCCACTCCATAGGAGAGAGAATGTCGATAGCATAGGAGAGTCCAGATCACAAGCTGTTAGGAGATTTTTAGCTCTTGCGCATTCTTTAAATTGTAAGGGAAGTTTTGGAGAAGTAGATAAGGTGATTCTTGAATATTTACATTTGGGTCATGCTGAGGAAGTTTCCGTTAAAGCTTTGAGTAGGCCTGTGAATGAAGTTTTTATCTCCATATGCATGTAGTCTATTAACAATCTAGCACAACTACCAAGATTAGGGCTGTTTTTGATGCCTGAGCAAAATCTGCCCCTGAGTATCTTTGAGTGATACTCTCTTAGTAGTTCCCACTGTCCATCCACCTTTATTGGATGTATTGATAAGATTTAGATTTTTCCATATTCCTTTAGTCGATGACGTTAGTAAAATGTAGAGAGCCATTGAGTTTGAAAATAATGACAAGGATTTGCACCGATTTGTATGAAGATCAAAGCAGAATGATGTCATAAAGGACTATTGAATAACTAGGTTGAACTTTGGTGTTTCTGCCTCTTGTTTTGCTGCCAATATGGGCATAAAGCAAAATTCTATTGATCACGTGAATAAATTTTCTCTAGCAGCGAAAATGGTCAGAGAATCTCTTTATGTTGATGATGAGCTAATGGGAGCAGACAGTATTGGAGAAGCCATTGAACTGAGGAGAAAAATGTAAGAATTGTTTTTGTGTGGTGGGTTTTACTTCGTAAATGGAACAGCACTAGTGAACAAGTATTGAGTACATTCTTTTTTGGATCCTACCTCAGAGTATACAAAGACTCTGCGTCTCGAATGGAGCATCAAGACTGACTGCTTCAAACTTACTATTTCTAAATCTCTTTCTAATTCAAATCTAACACAACATACTTTTGTCTCCAACATTGCTAAATTATTTGATGCACTAGGTTGGTTCTCACCTGCCATTATTAAAGTTCAAATACTTCTGCAATG